TTGTTTTTTTTTCAGTTTAGCTCTCCCTGTACCTGGTCCTGCCTTTATTTCCTAAGAGGCTCCTAGGAAACTCCACCTTCTTATAGTCTGGGGGAAAATACCATCACAGCCTTCCCTATGCTGATATATACCAATGGGATCCTTATAAATGTAGTAGGTCAAGTGCCACAATCTAGGTCTCCACCAAGAGTGTTCTTATTCAATCCTGATGTTTAGCTCTTCCATGTATATTTAAGAATCAGCTTGTCAAGTTTCATAAACTGTTGTTGTTTTAACTGAAATATCGATAGATTAATTTGGGGAGAAGTGGTATCTTTACAACCCCGGTGGCACAGTGGTTAAGAGTTCGGCTGCTAATCAAAAGGCCAGCAGTTCAAATCCACCAGGCGCGCCTTGGAAACCCCATAGGGCAGTTCTATTCTGTCCTATAGGGTCACTATGAGTCAGAATCAACTCGACAGCAGTGGGTTTGGTTTTGAGTTTTATCCATGAACACGGTATACTGCTCCAATTATTTAGTTCTTTAATGTCCAGTAAGTTTTTATAGTCTCCTTTATAAAGAGCTTGCACATGTTTTGTTTAAGTAATTCATATTTTTATTACTATAGTAAATATATCTTTCTTAAAATCATGTTTCCTAACTTTGTGGCGACCATATAAAAACACATTTGACTTCTGTATATTGATATATTTAACAGCTTTGCTAATCTTTCTTACTAATTCTAATAATTTATCAAAAATTCTTTGATTTTCTAGGTATACAATCCTATCATCTGTTAATGACATTGCTTCTTCTTTACTAATCCTTACTCTTTTTATTTTCTTATCTGACTACATCGGTATCACCCAGTACCTCCAAGTGCAGTGCTGAATAGGACTAGTGATACCAGGTATCTCCTGTCTTCCTCCTGATCCTAAAGGGATGGTTTTCAACACTGAGTCTGATACATGCTTTTTGAAGATACTCTTCGTCTGAGTTAACTAAATTCCCACGTTGCCATGACAAATAAATGGCAGGTGCAAGACTGTAAACATGGTGAGAAATGAGGTTCTGAAAGTCAGATGTGAGGGCAGTGCCTGAGAAGTCACCATTCTTACTGGTTTTCAAATATCTAATAATTAGCATCTTTTACAAACCACATGTGAAACTCTAAAGAGTATTTTTAAGTTCTGTTTAGTATGCAAAGTGTAAGGTTACACGGCAGCTTTTTCCCTAGTGAACGTTACCACCCGTGGAGCGAGGCAGACGCGATGGCACAGGACACAGGCAGGAGAGGGAATACCCCCAGTGAAAAACCAGAGGCCTGGATTCAAACACCAACTCTGCTCACTATCAAGCAAGGTTACCCGAGGAAACTCTGGACCGTGGTTTACTTTCGAAATAACTAAGAGCTTGGGAAAAAGAATCTCTAAGGTCTCTTCTAGTACTCTAGTACTATGATGTTAACTGTTTATGCCAAAGTCTTAGCTGAAAATGAGACAATCCAGCCGCATACTCACTTGGACACGTTGCCCACCACTATCGTTTTCTTCACGAAAAGTCGTGAAGTCTCATCCCCTGTAAAATCGGCATTCCGCTGGTCTGTTTTACGAGAGCCAGTGGTACTAGAAGTGTCCTGAAAGAAATCACGGTGAATTTTCGTTTTCAATTTAAATTGGACAATTTTCACAGGTCAGAAACCACAAAATCATAAAAGGTATGAATGGAATCATTCTGATTTTTTTTGTTTTTTGTGGCTTTCGTAATGACTCTAGAAGCATGAAAGAATAGTTAATTGTACTACAAATACTGTAGTAATTCATACAAGAAGTTTATACGCTGTAATTCCACGTGTGTGTTTTAGCAGTCACCTACATCTGCTTTGTATACCCAAATAGGATGTGGAAAGAGACACAAGAAAATATGAAAATGGTTACCTTCGGGGAATGGGAGTGGGAAAAGGCATCAACTGAATTTACTTTCTTTTCAACTTTCTGTACTATTAATTTTTTTTCTATGAGGAGTAATATAAAGCACAGTGGTTAAAAGTTTGACTCTGGAGACAGACTGCCTGGGTCAAATCCTGGGTTTTTCATCTACTAGAGGTTTAATTCTGGGCAATTATTTAACCTCTGTCTCAATTTCCTATCTATAAAATCAGGGTGATAACAGTACCTACCTCATACGATTAAAGTAGCTATTATTGTGCAGTGCTTAGAAAAGTGCCCGGCACACAGTAAGCACTAAATGTTTGTTACATAAACATTAGCATGTATGGCATAAAGATGTTAAATTTCTAAATCCCATGACCAGTATGACTTAAATTTTTTAAATTAAAAAAAACAAAACAAAACAAATATTTTCCCAGAAATCATACTGGAAAGATACAAGTAAATCCAAACACCAAGAGTTCTGATTTTTGAATAGTGGCATTATGACTGACTTTGCAATTTTTTTCTACTTTTCTGAACACATATAAACTTATAATTATAAAAACAAACAAAAAATTTAGAAGGGAAGAAAAGCATATCCTTGATGTGTGAGTGCTTGTAAAGCAACCCAGCAATTTTCTCTCTCTAAGGATACCTGGTTGGAAAAAACCATTGGTCTAATTAATGCAATAAGGACTCTACAGGGACGCCATAGCCCAATATTATACCAGGAAATTCAGAGCTGCTTGACATGGGAACTCAAACAACAAACTGCCAGGATCAAAAGCAACACATGGTTTTCAATTCTGTTTATCTGTCAGTTTTCCTCCGGCTACTAAGGTATCCTAGAATATAAAGTTTCACAGAGGACGAACATGCCTAGTGGAAGGGGCTTGGGTTCTCAGCAGGTCACAGCACTGCCACCTCCTCAAGGCTCCTTTCACATCTACACGGATGGCATCAAGAAGCTGTGCAGGGCACAGCAGCCCTGAGCTCTAAAATCATCAAAATGAAAGTTTAATTCTCAGTTTTGGTAACTTCTGGACACATGTAACTTTACCCTCACTGAGACTCAGTTTCCCCATGTCTAAAAGGGAAATAATTAACTTATTTACCAGGGTTCCTATTAAGGTGAAATGAGATAATAGGTGCATACTTGACAAATATGGGTTCCCTTCTCCTTTAGCTCCCTCCCAGCCATCCAACTATACCCTTCCAGTATTTCGGCTTTGTCTCTGCTCCATATTGTTTGATAATCTTTCCTCTATGTCCATATTGCTGTTGTTGTCTTTGTCAGATAAAAAGTCATTGTGTTGAGATAAAGAATCGCTCTCTGAATGATTGGCTGATGGTGTTTCTGATCTCTGATTGGCAGGAGATGATGATCTAGACGGTGATTCGAAAAATTTCTTGATAGCAGGATGATTAAAAACCATTGCATCACATGTCTTTGATCCCTGCAGAAATAAAAGCAAACAAAGTTTAAATTAAATCCATCAAAAGTAGGCAAATTCTCCATCTTTCCAAAACCCTCATTTATTTCACCATCACGCTTCAAGTCCTTCAAAATCTCCACACAGAATAAAAAGAAGTCCAAACTCCTTAACACGGTCTGACTTCACAAAACAAAAACCAGAGGGGGACAAATAATTACAGAAAGGTTC